CACAATTGAATCTGAGTACGTCACAGCTGCAACTGTGATAAAAAAAGCTGTTTGGCTAAACCAATTTCAATATGATCTTGGCTATTGAATCAAGTTGAGCATGTCTATGCATGAAGAATATTAAACCTCTATGTGTCTAGTAAAAAGTTACGAGTATCATTGGCGTACTAAATATATCGATGCGTGTTTTTATTATTTAAAAGAAGGGTATGCTTGCAGTGAAATTAATTCAATTGATATTGCCATTATGCCTTAAATATCCGATATTTTAATTAAATTATTACCCAGAGATTGGTTCATTAAAATTCGTGAGAGTCTGGGAATTATCAAAATTTGTATGTATTAAAGTGTTAAAAAATATCAAAAATGTCAGAATTATTTGAGTTTTTTTAGCAGTCTAAACAGCAGCGGAAAGGGCTTTTGTTGTATACATGCATGTTTCTTTGTACGTGTGCTATGCCTGCTGTGAGCTATATATTTTTTATAAAGTAGGCATACCTACTGCGCTAGTATAATGTTAGCCTTACAGCTCCAATGCCGTGTGCTTGGTAATGTCTCTATGTACTAAAAGTGATTAATGAAAACCTTTACTTTTTTTTCCTGTAAACTGTGTTATCTGTGTCTCCTTGGCTTTCTTTCTATCTATCTTCCCAACAACTTGATCACCTTATGGTTCTAGCAAATGCGACAAGACTGAGAATACAATCTGCAGAAAAAGTTCTAAATCGAACTTTCGTGAGGAATAAAAGTCTTATAAATACAAAGTTTTAAGGGCAGTTTGTTATTATAGTTTAAAATATTAGTTAAATACTGATTTTAATACTCTACTGAATTTATCAAGATTAATTTCTGCTAAAGTTAAAAAAAAAGTATAATATAACAAACATAAAGACGCCTTCAATTGAAAAAAAAAGATGTTGGAAATTAACAATGTGTTTGTAAAAAAACCTATTAGCAGAGATTTTTTTTTTTATTCATTTAAACCCCCAGGCAAACCATACATATTAGAAGCTTACAACTATTTTAGGTGTAGTGTAATATTATTGAATATTTTTTATAGTTATACAGAAAATGATGAGCAAAAGTTTTATAAGAAACAAGTGAGATTTTTTAAGATTTCATGCTGAAGAAAATCATTGGATTGGCCCGGCCCCTTTTAAGGCTGGAAAACTAAAGGAAAATTTTTGTCAAAGGATTCTGTGATAGCTTACTCATTCTTTTTTTAAGAATACAACTCCCATAGTCTGCTTTATCTCGGATTATCTCACAATTTTGTTTGTTAACAAACAATTTTCTTAATGATATGAAAAAAATGTACGGTCAAGTGCAAATATGCTTTTTACACAGCATAGGTTTCTTATATAATACAAAAGTAGATTATTTATAATGGAGGCTTCTATTTTTATGAAACTAATGGTAAAGGGATAAATTGAAAACAAAAAATTTTTAATGTTGATCACTACTTTGACATTAGTTCGAAAGGCTAAGGAAGTACTACTTGATTTATTCTAGCTTGATTGGCTTATTAAAAAAATTGACGTTAAAAACACTGAAGTCACCTAAATAAAACTTAAGCTCTTGTATCATATTAAAATATCGGTACTTTTTTGCAATTAGTTGTTTCCATCTATTGAATTACAAATCCAGTTAATTTGTAAATAAATCCTGTCCGGAAGGTGGAGTTTTCATATGTTTGGGCCCAAGGTTTAAACGTCATTTTACTTTTCAAGTAAGTGTCTACTTTACCAACTATCTTACTATGGTGAATTTATATTACTAATAAACTAAAATTCTTCCCATATGAGACAACAAGGAGACCTATCATGCTGCTACTGTAAGGAATCGATCACGCAAAAATGAATTGTAAAAAAGAAATTGACATCTTGCAGTCATAAAAAACAACTACTTTACCTCATGCTAAAAAATGTGACTTTTGTCAAAAACTGAAGCATTAAGCTATCTAAAATTTAAACAGTATATCCTTAGCTATAAGACAAACACGTACATGTAAGGTAAGTTTATTTATAAAATTAAATGCTTACAAGATATGCATGATTACTTGAAATGGTCTTACTACTTTAAAAGTTCTTTTTAAAATCTTTTGATCATACTAAGTATTACTTTTTTAAAAAAGTAATATTTTAATATAAAATGCACCTAAATACTCTTTTATTAGTGTGGAACGTAACTTTACTATTTAAGTTTGCGATGGATTACAATAAGTTTGGGCTCTATGGACGTCTGAAGGTACCGGCTTGGCAGATCATGTTGTTACTTTTCGTAGAATAAAAAACAAACAATTTTATTATTCACAATACAATAATCTAATACAATAGAGTAGCGCATAAGGTGAAAAAAGTAAACATTGATAATTTTTAAGGCATAGTGAAGGAGGTGAGCACCAAGTATTTTGAAGGATAAACAGAAAGAAACTCAAGGTAAGCATAAATGAGCTATAAACAGAAGCTGTTAATCAGCTGCGTGTGTGATAGCAAGTTACTGCAAACTACCAGTACTATGAACTAGCAAAAACGATTATTGACTGTGTTAGTGAAGTCATTGATAACTTTAACCACAAGGATAACAGTGAAGTTTATACTTCTTTATCGTATCCTTAAATAAAAATGTAAGGTTTCCTAGAGAGTTGCTTTGCGTAAGCCATCTGTGAGGTGTTCATGATACTCTGCTTAATTGTTAATGGGCTAACCTATATATGGCCCTTAGTACCAGCAGCAACAACTGCTTCACGTATTGACGAGAAGTTTTCCATCGTCACAGTACATCTTGATCTATGCCCTTTTCTGCTATTAACCAGACAGTTTGTCACCTAAATTTGCATTTACATTAGAACTAATTGTAAGAGAACGCATATGAACCCTACGACAACTTGTCGATTGTAAGTACCATATTTTTACAATAAGTTCATGAAAATGTTGTACTGCTGTTATGCACTTTACTTACTCGTATTTTTATAAATTATTTTTATGCAATAATTTTAAGAGTAAAGTTTATCTTAACTATTATAAGATAGCTACTATGAGAGATAAGAACTTTAGTTTCAACAAAAAATGTTTACTGAATTTATGATTTAGCCGTTCCTATTTAACAAGAACTCCTCAGCGAAATATAAATGTGACGTTTAAAATTTTTGTGTATGTTTTCAAAGACAGTCTATAACACATTTACATCTTGTTTTATTTGACTACGAAGAAGTATAATAAAAATCAATCGAAAAAATACACCCTGTGCTTCATTCGTTCTTCCTTGATAGTAGACCCCTAATAATTACTTTTAGTTTATAAAAGTACATTTAAAACGTAATTTTTTATATACTTATTAACCTTTGTGCAGTTATTAAATTAAAAATTTTTTTTGTAGAGTCACTCTTTGCAAGAACTGCTAAATTTATCTTGTTAAAATAAAGTCTTTCGGTTTAAGTAAAACACAAATACTACTATAATCAAGAATGTCGATATTACAAGTCCTAAATTTCAGAAAAACGGCGTTCATAAACATTGTTTATCACTTTAATTCATAGAGAACTAATGGAATGAATTCCTTGAAAACAATCTTTACAATTTGTGTTATTATTTTTTATCTATTATTTAAGTAAAATTAATGTTATATGTTATTATTTTTTCTCACAGATGTCAAAAAATTTATTTTATAAAAAAGTTTCTTACTATTAAATGTCATACAGATTTACCTTTAAAAAATGGATCATGTAAGATTTTGTAATCATAGAAACAAAAATTTTTATATACTTTTTTTACTCCTAAGTTTTTGTATTCTGCTTAATATTTTATTGAAGCTCTAATTTGTATTGTCAGACTAGTATTTTTCTCAGTTTCTTTAATTTTCCTACTTTCTTTTTTCTATTGACTAGGAGCATTGTTTCAGAGATGTAGATTAGATGTAGATTTTTAGTCGACCTTCCTAATAGTTACCCTTGCACTGACTAAAAGAAGTAGCAATGGTTATCGAAAACTAAACCGAATTGAAAATAAAAAAAATATTAAAATAGCTAAGGTTAAACTTACATTTCTTTGTCTAGTATTCACCATACTTGTCATTATTACCGTAACAGCCTGATCATACGGATAACAACAATTACTATCACATAGGTTCCTTATTAGTTTTTGAATTCATAGTTGTAATAATAATCTATACAACACAGGTTGAAGAATAAATATGGTAAACAACAACATAAAGATTAGTTATAGTATGTGTATTTTAGTTTTAAAAAGTGCGTTAGGCAACTCTTCGATGAAATACTTTCAGAATTAAATAAGAAATAAAGTAAATGTACCAATGCTTGGCCACCACAAAATTGGTCCCAAAGACTGCCCACGATCACAATTTTACGATTCGCACGAATTTTCGCAGCTGTAAAAAATATTTTTATTAATATTCAAGCTTGAAAATTATATTAATTTCATTGTTAATAGTTATCTTGACAATACTTTAACCAGGAAGTTAGAAAAAATTTTTCTATAAAGTGATTTATGTCAGCTTATCCGGCTTTGGGACATGTGTCAACGTAACTTCACGTTTATTGTGTCCTAATAAATGGCCAAAATTAATTGCGTATAATTCATACGACTGGCCAGTTATTGGGGCTTGAAGTTTCGGCCACATGAACAAGTTTTTTCTACAGTTGCCAAGAATTTGGACATTATATCATGTCAAATAATAAATAAGAGCTTTTTTTCTGTGTATGCAAAAAATCATTTCTTTTTGGTACAGCTTAAAATAGTGTTATAACTATAAGATAATCCCCATTAGAACTTGAAAATTTACTTTTTTTTTATGTTTATCAAGTACTTAAGAAATTGGTCTACTAAGATGGCCAACGTGAGGTGTATTTACCTTACATAACTGAATTTTTTACCGCACTACTTTTGTACATATTTTCTCATTTTAATAGTTGTAAAATAATACGGTTATCAATAAAATGCAAAATTAGTTGTTGAAGACCTTTTGAAGCAAATCTATTATAGGAAACATGTGGGGAACTTGCGATAATGGTACTGAGGCTGTCGGCTGCGGAAATTCAGAGATGTTCAAGAACTGTGCAGATGTCAATATTGTGACCAGTGTTGCGGGTTTACCACCAATCTTTGCGCAACAGTTAAGCAATCCATTCTTGCTTTACTACAGAGATTACGCATCACCAAGCAATGCATCTCCTTTGATTATTAGGTAACATGAATTTTTTTTAAATGTTATTTGTAAGGTACGTTTTAGGTATGTGATTAAATATTTATGATAAACACTACTAGAATAATACAGCTTAAAAGTTTTCTGATATTTTTAGCAGGTTTTAATTTATTTATTAATGACGTACTAGTTAAATATTCTCACTATGGCAACCATGACAGTTTGGATACAAATAATTAATCAGCTTTCTACCAATATAGTAGATTATAAGTTGCCATATTCCTAAAAAAATAAGTCATATCGTAATTAACCATGCATTATTTTAAAAAATATGACTTACACAAAAGTAATGTAATTATTTGATCTAATATTGTGATGAGACCTGATATTCTTATTTTTGCTTGAGTTATGAATTTAATTGACTTAGACATAAGTCTTACTATAAAGCTTTATTTATCGTTATACGTGAGACATAAGTCTGTGTTTTTAGGCATAAAGGCTGGTCAGATACAGATTTGAAAGAATTAAGGCGCTAACGAAAAAAAAAACAATCCTTTTTGCGTTAAAGGTACGTAGAAGGAAGTTAAAAAATTGAAATGATGCACAGAGCACTGCATCTGTGAGCAAGGCATTTATTAGAGGCTTAGCTAAGTATTTAAATTTATACGAGAAAACTTTTAGCAATGAAGTTCTTTATGCCATGTCCAGGGTCAGGATCTAGTCAAGAAAAAATTCAACGTTACGAAGCAGTGTTACAAAAAAGCGTTACAAAAAACTTTTAGAGAACAAAAAAATAGAGAAAACCAGTAACTTTTTTCTACCATGCACTGCCACTACTTCCCCAATCTACGCACTACTTGTACGTCTCTTTTTCACTCCCTTTCTTTTTCTTATACAGTACACCACCGCATGAGACAGTCATACATGGGCTACTCTACTACTCTCTCTTTTTTTTGCTCACTATACAAGTAATCTACTTTTTTTCTCGGACACATAAATGTAAGTATGATAGTAGGACTCCAACCCCCTGCACTCTGTTTGTGCTAACCCTATAATACCTTAGCTGAAATGAAAAGTCTTTTCACTTTGTATAAAAAAAAACTCATGTAAAATTAGAATTAAAGATTTGTAAAACTAACAACTTTAGATTAATTATCTTAAAAAATTATGTAAAAGTAAGTTTTCCATTTTATCTCGTAAACTCCAACGCAGAAGTTCTTCAAATATAAACATGAGGTACACCATGTTTTTAAAATTTAAATGATTAAACATATGCTAACACTTTGACAAAAACGTAATTCTTATTATTATCTTAAATCGATAGCTATTAAAAAAAAAGTAATCTAACTGTTTTTGTTGAAACATTACTTCGTGTATTGTTCATTACAAATTCAGATAAAACTTATTATCATTATTTTACTGTTCATGATAACATGTAACTATTATAAATAAATAATTGTTACCTTCCACATTTTCTAACTATAGCTATTGCACCCTGATTGTGCTTCTGCATATAACTTAGACTGTTGGTGTATAAAAATAATTGTATAGAAAGATTTCTAATTTTCCTCTTTGTTTTAAAATTTTGAGAATCATTAGCTGCTCTATTAGTATTTGCATCTAATAACCCTTCATCAAATATATTTTTTTCACTTTTCCGATATTTTAAATGATCAAAATAGATGCATGCAATTACTATATAGGAATGTACGCGTATAAATAACTGTTAAGATAACCTTCCCCCATATCATAATGAACTCGAATTCTCGTAATCTGATCAGTAAGTCAGTATGTATTGATAATATTAAAACGCAGTAACTTTTTTCTTCTTTGAGAATCTTTGGATGTAACCAGTTCTTTAGTTCAAATCTTCTAGAGAGAACAATAACATATGTATCGTCCAATTAATAAAATAAAATTGTTTACTTAAAATATTTTCTTAGAATAGTAATGTTGTAATTTCTTAGGGTTGACAAATAAATTAAAATTTTATGGAAATCTCTAGTTTGAGACTGTAAGACTAACACACCTAGCTGTTTATTGCATGTATAATTTTATGACATTTGTTTCTTAGAAAAATCATTTTAAAATTTCGTTGCTTTGTCTACATTTTTCATTCGATGCTAACTTTAGTACTTTTTGGTTATTTGATTTTTCTTTATGATCTGAGTCAAAGTATCAATATGCTCTTTGATAAATTTAACGTTTTTTTTTTTAAATAATCTACAATAGTAGGTGAACAGTGGCAGTTCTGGCTCAACTGAGCCAAAACCGCCTAGTGCTTGTAGCTCACTTCCCCTCTTTGCCCTCGACATGCGGTAACCATGGCCAAGCTGTGGCTCGTATGCTCGAACGGTCCGACCACTACTTGAGTACCCCCGAACTGCTGCTGTTACTTAATGAACCGCCGCATGCACTGCTTGAGCTTAGCAGAATCTTGTGCAGCGTATGCAAGTGATAGTTGCATACACATATTTTGTGTTACTATGCTCAAGCGGTCCAAGTACCCCCGGTTGGCTTCAACCTATGAAGACTATACTCGAGTAAATCTGATGTATAGGGCCCTCTCGAGAGTTATCATTTGCTCACACTTGATATTTAAAATCTGAAAGTTAAGATCTCAGTTCAAAGCTTAACTCTTTTTGACACAGGTCTACACTTAATATTATTGTCTGTACGATATTTCAACTTAGTACTTGATAGTACCACCTATCGCTCGCCAGGTGGCAATTACTAGTCTTTAGCAAAAATCGCAAGTAAGAAAGTGACGTAAAGTATATCAGACGGACTGTGTGACGACTGATTGGGATCAATCCGAGATATGCAAATACGTGTAATGCATACCTCTTAAGCCACTCAATTGACTTAAAATAGTGGTAGTTAACTTAAGTACATATTCAATAAATATTATTGTACCAATACAAGACACTCGCTTATACCTTTTTTTCTCGAACCTTAAGAAAAAAAAAAAAAAAACTAGACACCCACTAGTCAACCTGGTGACCAACTCCTCGAGGCCTCTACGAATTACCGCTCAATTGTCGCACCTCTCCGATGAGTTGGATTCCGATGAATCAAACGGAGCCACAACGCCAACAACATCGGAAGCAGTGTCACCATCGTTGTTCAACTTAAAGGGACGGCTCGAGTCACTCGAGAGTGACTCTGATATCTTCCAATCGCACTTCCCCACTCAAAGTCATCTAACCCCAACGGCCACTTTTAACACTCTGTTTTGCATATATCTTCACTTTAAACTATTGTGAGAATAATATTACTGGATAGGGAGGCTAAGGAAAATCAAAGTTTTGAGTAGCTTACAAGGAAATGAATTTCAACACATTTAAACAATTTTTTTAATTCATATTAAATAAAATTAGTAATGTTTACATTAATGAAAATGCATTCTTAGATTCAAAAAATACATATATTAAAATTATAAAAAATACATGTATCAATGTAAAACAGAACATTTTAATAAAACTACTAATATAATAAGATCATACAAGTCTTATAATTCATGAAAGTTAAGTACACGACATATCTTGTTAGGATGGTCGAGCACTTTATTGATCCTCTTTTTTCACAGATTACTTCGAGTGATGAGTCTACATTCATAACAAAACGCATGGGTGATAACTCAATCACTGTAATTGGTAGCAGTGACTGTACCAAATCATTGATTGGTATTGTGTCAGACACATATGCTAGTGGTAAGTGTATGACAGCCGATGGTGTTGTTGTTGTTATGTCAATAACTTCTATTCACTCAGATACTTCTACGGGTAGCGTATGCCATTCTGCTGTCGTGAGTACCTCCAATTCATTCATACATAAAAAAATTGGAGACATTTCTGATGCATCCTCAACCGGTACGACCACTGCAATGCAAGATGGTCCTGGAGGCAGGCATTCAAAATCCACTTTGAGGTCTGTTGACGATAGGAAAAGTTGTTTTTAATATTATGTAAGTAGAAAAAAAAAATAAGAAAAAACTTACCAATGCAAGGATAGCAGTCGACTTTGACTTTTCTGCTGCTTGAGGTTTTACCGCACTAACCACGGGGCAAAACGGCCGTGAAAGCAGACATTCTATATTTCCTTCGAGGTCTGTTAAAAACATGAAAAAACTTCAGTAGTATTATTAAAGTAGAAAAAAAAAAATTAGAAAAACTTACCAATGCATGGATAGCAGTCAACTTCGACTACTTGTGTTACTTGTGGTTCTACTTTAACAACCACGGGGCAAAATTGTCCCAGTGATAAAGTTACTAAATCTCCTTTAAAATCTGTTCAAAGAAATATTACACAACATCATAACATCATAAGACTTATATAATAAGATAAATATTCAGTCTAAATGTGTTCACACTAACAAATGGATACCACTTTTCTACAGGGCAAACTTTTGATGCTGCTGCTTCGACTTCTGTTGAACATATCCCAGTGGGAGCCATATCAAGTCGCGCTTCTTCAAGCATCTGTTCAAATTCATATACCCATGAGTTTGTTCAAGATTGTAAAAAAAGCAGTCATGGAGCTAGACTTGGAGAACAAACTGTTGAATGTACCATCTCTTCTTCTCCTTTCGATGACCAATCATTGATGGCGTCTTCGGTCTCTTCGGTCTCGTAACAGATCCATGTCACAGAAACGCAGTCCAGATTTTGTTCAGGTTATGCTTGAAGACGTCTCGTATATTCACTTTGGAGGAGTTACTACGAAAAACGCAGAAAATTACCCCCATTATATGTCCACGAGATGAAACACATATGCATATGCACTCTGACGGTGAAAATTTGCAATATTTAGTCAGACCACTTGTTCCCAAGTAAAAGGGGGAGAACTCCACCCTCCTAAATATTTTCTCTACGTAAGAGTTGTGAGTTTTAGTGGTGTGAAGAAGGACTATCAAAAGAAAGTTACATTTACAGTCTCACATGGTCCTATTACTTTCTGAACTTTGAAATAGAAAAATTTTTATTGGAAAAGAAGTATTAGAAAAGGATAAACTATAGTTTATCTCGCACTTTGTACTAAAG